CATACACATGTGAGTACATCTATTAAATGTGAAACTTAAATAAGCATGATTTATGATCAAATATGATTCTGGTTGGTTGAAATAGCATTTTTTTCACTGTTGGGAAGAATAAATGGGTATATGATTGATATGCGATTCGATGATATCCACCACTTATCTGGTTGGTGGTTTCAACCAACCCCTCTGAAAAATATGACTTCGTCAGTTGGGATGATGAACTTCCCATATATTATGGAAAGTCATGAAAGTTATGTTCCAAACCACCAGCCAGATAAGATAGCATCACATATGTGATATTTATATATATATATTTATTTATCATTTGCATTCATTTGCCTTGAACAGAGTTGTCGAATGTTCAAACCACGTCTAGTACTGATCATCTCAAAAACATGGAAGTCCACTGGTGATATCTCCGCAAAGAATGTGGGGGTTTCCATAAATGGGGATCCCAAAAAATGGATGGTTTATAAGGGGAAATCCCCATCTAGAAATGGATGATTTAGGGGTACCCCTATGACTCAGGAAATATCCAATTAGGGATATAAATCCCATCAATTTTCGGGATTTTCCATGAAATAAACCATCTATTTATGGTGTACCCCTACTCAGGAAACCTCCATGGTGAAATTCAGGGAATGAACCACCAATTTCTGCCCGATACGGCACTTGGCACTATGGAAATTGGGAACATCGCATTCCATGCCTCGCTGGTTCCCCCAAATCCCATCGTTCTCATTGGTCAAATTCTCGGGATGAACCACAAATTTCTACCCGCCGGCACTTCGCATTACAATGACTTTTGATACCTTAATCAAAAGGCTTGATGATTACAGTAAAACTATTAAAGATACATAAAGATACTATATTCTCATTGAAGTCGCAATTTCGCTGATTTTTGTAATGAGGACATTCCCAAAACCCCGAACCATGCGCTCATCTTGGTTTGTTGTTGGATATAACCCTAGCCTAGTAATGGGATCACGTAAAATGAGCGATTAAGAATAGCCCTATCCCATCTCATTTTGCTGGTTGGTTAATAGGTTTAATTCCCTACTATGGGCCATGATAATCCCGCTTAAACCAGGAAATAGAATCCCCTATAAAAAACCAATCAACAATGGTATTTCAAAAAGGCTCACATCCCACTATGATCCCATATCCCAATAAAAATGAAAATTATCCCATATCCATCCATATTCCTATAAATCATTATAAATCCCTATATATATATACTATTTGGTGGTTTCAACCCCCTCGAAAAATATTAGTCAGATTGGATCATCATCCCAACTATTGGGGAAAATAAAACTCATGGTCCAAACCACCAACCAGATATATATGATGTTTCCCATGACATATCCCATGTCCTCCGTGGGATCATGCCATGACCCCTGGCTGGTGACCCGGTTCCTTTGGTCGTGGGAGTCGCCTGCACCTTGCCGCGCGAGGCCCACAGCATCTTGGGCTCTGAGAAAGTGGTCTTCAAGAGGCGCTCACAGAAGGCCTCCTGGAACCAGTTGAGTCGACATCGAAAAACAACGGAGATTTATCATTACACCCGTTGACAATAGGGAGTTATACGGATTTATAGAGATATAAATTGGGTTAATTACAGGGACCATATAGTTTATATGGATATGATATGGAATTATAATGAGACTGTTTATGGTAGATATATTGAACTGTTTACTATGGTTTATAAAGCAACAAACATGACTGCAAAGGTACCACCTTGTATCACCTGTTGATATTCACTGATATGGGTTGATATTCATTGACATCCATCGAAATTATTCATTTACATTTACATCATCATATCTATTGTGATGTCCAATGAATCACTCCATGATTAGATATATAATGATATACATACATATATGGCCCAGCGTTTGGTGGTCCCCCCCCTCCCCCCGAGATGGTGATGGTCCCTATATGTATGTATGTATATATATATATACATATATGTAAGTTACACATATATGTATATTATATATGTAAATTGTATATATATATATATACATGTGTGTATACGTATGTAGTATGTGTATGTGCAAATGTATACAGTATATATATATACATATATGTATATATATGTATGTATGTATGTATGTATGTATGTATGTATGTATGTATGTATGTATGTATGTATGTATGTATGTATGTATGTATGTATGTATGTATGTATGTATGTATGTATGTATGTATGTATGTATGTATGTATGTATGTATGTATGTATGTATGTTGTATGTATGTATGTATGTATGTATGTATGTATGTAATGTATACATATATGTATATTATATATGTAAGTTATATATATATACATGTGTGTATACGTATGTAGTATGTGTATGTGCAAATGTATACAGTATTTATAAATATATATATATGTATATATACATATGTGTATATATTTATATGTGCATACATATATATATGTATGTATGTATGTATGTATGTATGTATGTATGTATGTATGTAGTAGTATGTATGTATGTATGTATGTATGTAGTATGTATGTATGTATGTATGTATGTATGTATGTATGTATGTATGTATGTATGTATGTATGTATGTATGTATGTGTATATATATATATGTGTGTGTGCGCATTGTCTATGTATCCCTCCCCCCTGTGGATGTGGTTGGGGGGTGGGGTGAGGTGGGGGGTGGGGGGGTCGGGGGGGTAACCCCATATACCATATGGAGTGGGGGGGCCGTGAACACGAGACATGGGACCACATATAATTATATATATCATATTGACAAATAGATCCAATGGACATTAAGGTCGATTGATATCCAGTTGACATCTATTAAGATATTGTTTAAGGTATTGCAAGTTTTTGCCTCACATCTATCCAAAGGTATTGGTATCATTGGGTCTTGCACATGTATCTATTACCCTCTGGTAATTTAACATAGCTATTGAAAATGGCCATAGAAATAGTGGAAGAACCCATTAAAGATAGATAAAGATAGTGATTTTCAATAGCTATGTTCGTTTACCAGAGGGTATATTAAGGTCTATTGATATCCTGAATATCCATGAGACGCAAATCGCAATCCCCGGCCTCACCGCAATCGCAGCACACAGCTCCCAGCTTTGCCGCCTTCGCACGTGAAGAGCTTTGCAGCTTTGCCCGAGGCGAGAGGTGGAGCTGGTACTTTTCCTTGGGAAAACGTGTGTTTTTTCACCCAAGAAACGGGAAAAACCTGGAAAATCATAGGGAAAAAACCACCGAAAATGGATTATTTTACGGGTACCCCCATGTACAAAAACATGACGGGATGAGTATGCTTTCAGCAAAACACCATAGGATTTTACCCCCAACAATGGGGACATATACACTCAAATGAACTAAGAAAAAATAGGGAATGAAATGGAATGACTTGATCAATAGTTAGAGGAAAACACACCAGCAGAAATGAGAACATTGACCAAATTGAAGATACCTCCAAAAACCTCCAAAAGTCAATCCTTTCGTGCAGGACTTTTTTAATCCTTTCGTGCAGGACTTTTTTAGGGGATGTGTTCACTAGGGGCATCAAAGTGACATGAAAGCCCCGCAGCGTTGCGTAGGCCAATCTTGGCCTGTCTGAAAAACATGGTACTCCCGAATCCAATAGCTTATCATCATGTCAACGATTGAACCCTTGCTCATACTGCAAATGAAGCCGACACAAAAATTCCTCATGCTCATGTCAACATTCTCGCATCTCAAGACAAAAATGAAGCCGATACACAGACCCAAACTCAAAACTTAGGTCACCCTTGGCTAATCCTAGGTGCTCTGTACAATAAATTAGTACATAGACCCTGAAAATAGTCTGCCAATCACTATTTTCCTGGAGGGAGAGAGATATGCAGCGTTGAAGCATTACTCTGGTGTCATCAAACGTGGCATTGTGGGAAATTACCCCAAAAATGGAGGTTTCGTTTCCTGTGAAAATCATCGAACTAGATGGGAGATTTCCCCGAAATCGCAACGTTTTGATGAAACTGGAGGGACAATCCCACTATATACATATCCAATATCAACGATTGTTAAGCCATTAACTCAGTATTAAGCATGATTTTCCCCTGATTTTCCCATGATTGGCATCCCTTCACCAAGTTTAATCAAAAGGATCCTGGACAATTCCGTCAAGCTTCAGCCAACATGTCCAGTCGCTCTCTCGTCATTCCATTCCTTGGCCCATTCACATCGGAATTCAAAAAGCCCCGCCTGCTGGGAGGATCATCCCAGTTGCTAACTGGTTAATAACCCTAGTTCGTAAGTGCTCTACATGAGGGTTTCTTCTATTGTAGTATCTTGCATACATATATATATATATACATATACAGGGTTGCTCCCAACCCCCCACAAAGGGGGTGACATTTGGATAATTTTTGGGATGATCCTCCATGGCTGTGTTTCATCATGGGAGTAACATAGCTATTGGGCTATTGGAGATGGTCCTGTTATCTAATTTGTAGATGATAGAAATGTTGATTTTCCTCTGAATATTTGGTGATTTTCCACTTCGCTATGTTAGTTTACCAGAGGGTGTATCATTTTATATCCCTTATCAAACATCTCTGTCAATTCAGTGGATGTTTCCCTCATTTGACAGATATGGGCATGACATATCAATGAGTACCAAACTGATAGCGGTGTCGATTTCAGATGAGTTTCCCAATAACAGAAAATCCACATATCCATCCATTCACTCTCGATAAATCATCATATGTCACCATGTTTCACCAATCTGAAGTAAGGATAAGGTGGGAATGCTTCCCTTTTCCAACCATTCCAGTGACGCCGCGGCGTGAACTCCTGAGTTTCCTCATCTGAATCTAGCAGAACTTGGATATCTTCCGGATCACCATCCACGAAAAAGCTGCTCTGATCATCGAGATCTATGGTTGATTGTCCGATCCAAAAAAATGACAACACAATTTGTAAAATCATTGTGATATCCAATGTGCTTTGTTATTCCTATTATTATCCCACTATAATAATCTTGGAGTAGATAAAATATAGTAATTTCAAAAAATCATTACGGATATCTAGGACTCTGATTGAAAATGCCATATTCTATCTACTTCACGATGAATATATGTATATCTATACATGTATAAAGCTACTTCCATTGTTTCTATGATTTCTGCCGTGTCCCCATTATTATTATTAATAATCATTATTATTGTATGTATGTATATATATATCATTATTATTGTATGTATACATATATATATATATATCAATTTGCAAATCCCCTATTCTATCTACCATAATCTGTCACGATCATTAATTATAGTAGTTACATTACTCTCAATATTATCCCACATTATTTCTATTATATGCCACATATGCCCATTAATATATAGTAATGAATATCCCCATTAAGTAGATAGCAATACACACACATATGTATATATATATATATTGTATATATTATAATTAAATAATTATGTATATACATAAATTATATTTACTATGTGTCATATTACATTATATATATATATATCGTTCATTAATAAATATCATCGATAATTTTCACATCAGAAATAGACCCAGCTTCGCGAGATCCTTGGCCACGGCTTCCCATGTGGCCGACAGCGTAGGCGATGTGTTTCGATGGCCACGGCGGTAGAGGAGCACCAGCCAGGGATGTTTGGCATCTGCCTGCACAACGATCCAAAAATCCTGGATTTCGTGAGACATGAATGGTGATATCATATATACATATACTATATATATATAGTGGTTAAGAATGGTCAATAGTGGATTAATAGTTGCATAATAATAGTTAATCGTATCTATATATATATCTTTACTATGGTGATTTAATAGTGATTTCATGGTGGTTTCATCGGAAAATAGCAATAAAAGTTCCAAGTTCATGGGAATTAACCCAATAAAAATGATTTTTCAGTGGGATATTACTGGTGAATTTAATGGATAATAAAATAATAGTAATTATTGTAATATTGGATTAATAATAGTGGCTTGATAATGGTTAATATCTATATATATATATATGTATATATATTTGGATATGTCATGGGATTTACCCTTTGGTCTTCAAACATAACAAGTGAAAATCCACAATAAACGGTGTTTTAATGGGAAAATCATCTATAAATGGGGGATTGTCCAACTGGCCACGTTTGATTGCAAGAGCGTAGCCAACATTCATAATAACTTTATTAACTATCCCCAACCGTAATTTATAAGATAACCAAACAAACAACCAATAGATTTGGGTGATTTACCACCAAATTTACAGGATACTTCATGAGGATATAATGAGTAAATCGAGATTATGATGTATATACAGAAATGGGATACATCACCAACTTGACATGATATGGGAGATTAACCAAAAAAGATGGATTTAATCGGTTTCTTCTGTTCGATACCATCCCCATGTTTCCTGCTCATTCTTCATACCCATGTTTCCTGCTCATTCCTCCCAGAATATACTAGAATATTGGCAAAATTATACCTATGGTGGATTATCATCATCTAGTGTTCTTTGAGTGTCCATATATAACCATATAAATACCATTATATACCTATGTTTTTTGAGTGTCCATTGGCAAAATCTCCCAATGTCAGTCTCTTGGCTCTATCCTCATCCTGAAAATCCCGTCCATCCCACCATCCCAGGGTGGTGCCCCCGTTTACGATCCAGCGTTCAGGACTGGTGCGTGCAAATAACTCCAATTTCATTATGGTTTTTGTTGGTGATATATCGTTTTCATGGGCTTTATAAACCAATTTGAATATAGACTATAGATATATTTCCCAATTTCAGAGCTAAGTTGGTTTATAAACCCATAAACATCACTTTTGGGGGTCACCATCCCATTCCGCCTCCGGAAAGTGTTCCCGGCAGAGCCGCACCACCCCACGCCACGCCGGCGCGGACGCGCAGCGCCCAAGGCGGCGCCGCGGCAGCGTGCGGAGGAAGCGCCGCAGCTCGGCGTCCGAGGCGCCGCCCTTGTAACGCGCCTGGCAGGGCTGTGACGGCGGTGAAAACATAGGAAAACCATAGGAAACCATAGGAAAACCCATGAAAACCTTTGGCATTTTATGAGCACCTTGGGAGTTCCATGAAAAAATGTGGGTCTGTTCAACATTTGGAGTTCAAGTTTTGTTTGTCTTGGCAGCCTAGTGTGGAGATGATATGGTGAAACGTGAAGTTTAAGTGGAGTGGTGAGTCAGTGGTAAGCACAACAAAACAACCTGTCTTTGCGTTGAGTTTGTGTTAGACCCTAGATGGCAAGATTAGGCGTTGGGTTGACCGCGCCACAACCCACCCAAAAATATCTCAAGAAACCCGTGAAAAAGAAAAAACGTTCGAATTGATATATAAGACTAAGATATCTGGATACCATTGAAGATACCTACTTAATTCACATAATGGTATTAAGTAGATATCCCCAGTTGAGATACATATCTACTATCTGTTGATTATGAATACCATTTATGATAAGCAGGTTGATACTTCCAGCTCATTAATTTGTCATGTCTTCCCCAGGCCTCGTGGCCTTGACCAATGGCATAAAGTGTCGGGTATCCAGTGACGTTGTAGCGTCGACATAGCTGTCTGTTGGACTCCTGCGGGGACCAAAAGGCGATTTCAAATGAGATTCCAGCTCAAACCTTAGGGCTTGTCTCGAGCTACCTCCGACAAAAATCAGCATCCAAGTCTGAAACGTCATCAAAATCAGCAATCTAAGAGCCCTGCTTCCTTTAAGTGATTTTTATCACTTCTTTTGTCGGGAATTATTTGAATTTGTGCTGTTTGTTTTCGAGTTCTTTCCATGTTACATCTATACTTCTATACTTGTTTCATCTTGTTTCATTCTTGCCAATCCTATCCAATCCTGATGTATTGCTGAGAGCTGTACTGATCGAGCATTTGGATCCATTTGGGTCCATAGCAACTTTCCTTGAAGAAATCCCGATGGAATCCGTACGTTCTAAGTTCGGCTGTTTCCCGCAATGATCCCACAGCAACTCTCAAGTTCTTCTGCTGTTTCTTCCATGTTTGTCGGCTCCAGCGCAAAGGGGCGTCCATGTTTGTCCGAAGTTAGTAACTCCATCGAGTTGTAATGACCATAAACCCATTGGAAGACTCGAAAAATAGTGGGAGAATAGTGGATTTCAAGGTATGAGTTGGTTTGTAAAACCCCATTAATTAGGGATGTATCTCCCATTTATAAACCAACTTAGTTGACGATTTGGGACACCTTCTTGCATTCCCATATGTTTCCAAATGAGTGATTATCATGTACATATCCATTAAAATGACAATACTTTGAAAAACTTGGAATGATGATGATTAGGTCCCAATTTCCAATCATGTTCAACGATTTTTATGGTTTTCGTCTGCAATCTGCAAACAAACAAGCATTGAAGTTTGCTGCCAAATTCATCTATCCTCTGGTTGGGTCCCACTCGATTCGTAGCTCCAACTGGCTCATCATGGCTACGATCGTAGTAGGGAATATTTGGATACCCCAAACGCTCAGCTCACCCCTCCCTACCAACCACTGGATAGAAAATCATACTAAGAAAATCACGTGGGGGTTTCTTGAAATGGGAACAAGTCACCATAGGTTTCAATACAAAGTCATGGCCATCTATGACTTGGAAATTTTCGGGGCACCCCCATGACTTCGGAAACCTCCATGTTTATCCAATCGTTGGTTATATATCCTATTAATTCCTATTAATTATATAAATCAATTTAAATTAATATGAAGATATATGAAGATCCCATTTAAAATCCATGAAATTACCATGGTTTCCTCATTTTCCATGGGCTAAACCTATGGCTTTTCCCATCCGCAGCCGCCCAGCCCCGTCCTCAGGGCACTCCACCCCCGCCACCGTGACGCCATCGAGGCCCGATGCGAGCTGCTGGAGCAAGGGACGGAGGCTCCTCAGAAGTCTGGTTGGTGGTTTGAGCCCTACCCGAAAAATGATGGACTGAGTAACAGTTGACATGGAAAAATATGGAAAATGGGTATTATTCCCATATGATATCAACAATAGTCAGTTGTCTTCTTCCCAATATGGAAAAATAGAAAATGTTCCAAACCACCAACCAGGTGGGTGGTTTATGGGGAGAATCTCATCGGAATGAGAAAAAAAGGGGGATGATAAACCAAGAAACATAGCTGAAGATGGTTTATGGGGATTATGAATGATTATATAATCATATATAATCTATAAGGGGGGATTATAAACCAAGAAACACCGCTGAAACATAGCTGAAAGATGCCGACCACCGACCGTAGGAGATGATCATCCAGAGTTGAACATTGGGATCTAAGCATGTGAAAAATGTGTGGAAATTGGGAACTAATCATCCAAAAAGTAAGGGACAAGTTGGATCTAACCAAAAACGACCAGGGAAATGTGGGATCTAGCCCTGACCAATTGAACGATTGACTATCAAAGAGCTGGTAGGCAGCTGCAACTTTGCACAGCCTGTTCATCGAGAATGATGAGCTCCTGCCCTTGCTCAGGGCAGACACTGTTCCCAAGTTGTCAGAGATTGTCAGCTTGCGGTGTGCCATCAGTTCGCTAACGCAACAGCTTCTCTTCAAAGAGGAGCTGTCGCAGCACGACATTCTTTGATGTTACACTGCAAAAATCGATGTTCCTCCAACCTCTCGATCCAAAAAAAAAGTTCCAAAATGGTCAGAGTCAACAAATTGTTGCCATTGTTTTCCCCTGAACGTTGACCCTCCATCAACCAACACCCAGCGCTGAAACCCTGAAGTCGAGCCACTGGCAATGTCCACATCTAGACGAATGGAACATGACCTCGCCACGCGCGATGGCCGGAGTTAGCCATTCATCTTTAGGGAACCATAGGAAAACCATAAGAAAACCATCGGCAAAATGGTGAAAAATTGGCTCAGGCTCAGGTTTACCCCCGGGTCAATCTAGGGACGGGATAATAACTTGGGATACAACTGGTTAATAACCTCTGGGATCTACACCCAACTCGAAATGATTTCTCTGAGTGTGTTTGAAAATGGGGGAGGCCGCCATAGAACTGCTGTTTTACTGGAAATGTGATGATCATCTATTGGAATTGGGGCTACTCCATCTTAAGACAAAGCGAGCTTTCCAAGTGAACAAATCGTGGGGGTTGAAACCACAAAAAAAAAGTTGAGCATCATGAGCATCAGGAACAATTATTCATCTGTGGATGTTTACATGGCCAATCTTCGAAACTTCTGCAAACAGCAAACTTCTTAAGCGGGTTACCCTCTGGCAATCAGCTTCATGGTTTGCTGGAAAATCCCCAGATTAATAGGTTTGTTTCCCCAAAGGGCCCTTTAGTTCGGACTACAGGAGGGCAAATCCCATTAAATATGCCACAAAGCATCCATCATTATCAATCATTCACCATTGTTAAGCATCACTTCCCCATTCATTTCACTTATATAGTTACGTATGCTTAATTATGACATTCCATTGGGTAACAATCATTTAAGAATCTAATGACATTAAAATACATTATAACAATACTAATAATGGTATTCACCATTCAATAATGATCTATATACTGATATTATAATGGTATTCAATTATTCAATTATCCCATATATATATATATACATATATATCATTATATCATTATTCAATAATACTATATAAGAATTATCACCGTTCAATAATGATATTCGATTCAATATCATTAATAGAACTTGGAGCCATCCCATTAAATTCCATCATCCACGGCTCCAAGTAGAGCTTCGACGCATCGCTTTCCGGCCAGTCTGCGGCGCAGAGATTGACCTTTGAAACAAAGCGAGCACCACGTAGAGTCCCACGTGGATCGTTGATGTAACTGGTAAACTAAGAGAGGAACTGGATGTAACTGGGATTATAATCCTGAAATGGGATAATCATGGATGATCCACTTACAAAACCAACTGGGGTTATAATATGTAACTGGGTCCTTTTGAAATGGGAGAATCCTTGGGAGAATCCATGGGGGAGCAACATCCACAAATCCCATCATCCACAATGATACCATCTGGTAAACAAAAAGTTTGTTATATACATGTATCGTTCGTTTGTTCGGTAAATAACCGAACTAAATGGCCATGTTCAATGGCAATGTTAAATTACCGGAGGGTATGCATGATTCATTTACATACTGTCGAGATATGGATATGGATATTGATATGTACGTATGTATGTATGTATGTATGTATGTATGTATGTATGTATGTATGTATGTATGTATGTATGTATGTATGTATGTCTGTATGTCTGTATGTCTGTATGTCTGTATGTCTGTATGTCTGTATGTCTGTATGTCTGTCTGTCTGTCTGTCTGTCCGTCTGTCTGTCTGCCTGCCTGCCTGCCTGCATGTATCTATCTATCTATCTATCCATCTATCTATCTATCTATCTATCTATCTATCTATGTTTGTATGTATGTAGTATGTATGTAATGTATGTTGTTGTGTATGTTGTTGTGTATGTTGTTGTGTATGTTGTTGTGTATGTTGTTGTGTATGTTGTTGTGTATGTTGTTGTGTATGTTGTTGTGTATGTTGTTGTGTATGTTGTTGTGTATGTTGTTGTGTATGTTGTTATGTGTGTTATGCGTGCTATGTGTGTGTTATGTGTGTTATGTGTGTGTGTGTGTTATGTGTGTTATGTGTGTTATGCGTGTTATGTGTGTTATGTGTGTAATGTATGTAATGTATGTAATGTATGGTATGGTATGGTATGGTATGTATGTATGTATGTATGTATGTATGTATATAGTAATCACCAAAAAGGTGCCTATTTAAGTGATGTCTTACTCTTTTTGCTTCGAATTCTACAAACTTCTATCTGAACTTGGCAGTTACCAAATATTATAACATACATATATATATAATATACAATATGAATATATATATATATATATATTATGATCCAAGAACCCCCTTTCTCATCCGCACCAATCACGTGGCCAGGCCACCATGGGCGCGTCCAAGTCTCCAGTGCAGATTCCAGCGACGACCGTCGCGACGGTCGTCGCGACGACAGCGACGAAAGCCGCCGCCATGGCGGCATGGGCACAGGATCCCAAGAGGCCAACACCATCTCCATGTTTTATTGGTTGAGAAATGGAGAAGTTTATGTATGTTAGTATGTTTATGTACTATCGAATTATCTATATATTGTATATAATATATATATATATCATGAAAATCACTTAAAAGAAGATGTTATATTATGTGTAGTGTCCAGTTCATAAGTTGTTTCTTGATTTTTGTGCTTGATTGACCATCCCGTTCAGATATTTTTTCCAATACCAGTGGTGTTGCTATAACCAATGATCATTTTTCCAACATATCATGGAAGATCTACAAACATGATCATAATATATCATAATCATGTTGACACAAATGATCAGCAATCACGATCCTGTTTCCCCAAACCATCCTAGTTGCACCATCCTACACCCGCATGTAACAGCATGGGGTTTGGTTCCTCAGGTGACAATTTCAGGAACAAAAAAACATGAATGGGATGGCAACCTGCAAACGGCTAGGCTAGTCAATGGTAGGAACCGAACCATCCACTTTTGGGGCCTAATGATTTGAGCCAATCATTCAGAAAGTCCGATCCCATCTTGCATATTATGCAAAATATTGACCAAATCATTCCAATTCTCAAAGAAAAAATAGGCGACACTTGCGTGACGATTGACGATCTCTCCAAAAAGCTAGAATAGACTGGAAAATTCATTTGCCAATCTTTTTGGGGTTTATTCTAATCCGGATAGACATGGTAAAAACACCAGCAACAACATATTACTAACTAGGATGGTCATCCAGGCTATTCAAACATGTGATGTCTCTTTCAATGAAGCACAAAGGGCTCAGACAACAGTAGCAACACGTAGCCAAAAAAACAAATGGCTGGATGATCAAAAAAGAGCGGATGTTACGTGATGTCATTAACATCGGTCCAATATTTGAATGATTTGCCCATGCTTCAATGGTTTGTTGAGAGAATTTGCCATTTTTAGAGACACTTCAAACAATGGTGGACAAGATTAATTTCTATATATTTCATTATATTTCATTGTATTTAATTGTATTTCTGAATCTATCTATCCCTCAACGCAAACGGAAAAATTGATCTTCCCTTGTTCATGTCAAGCCCAGCAAAACATTCGTTCGGACCCCACCGAACGATGGAGAAGATTGGCGCTCTCATCCAACGAATGGTAACTGCTGAGGAAAACCGTGGTTATTCAGTACCCCTACGTGGGTTACCCTATGTATAACTCAGTTCTTGAAAAAGATAATAATAAAAACAGCACAGTAGTTATTAAGTGAGGTGAGCTAAGATTGTCCTTCTAGGAAAAATCTTGCCTGGTGTATATTATTTCTCATCTACCTATGAAGGTAGAGGAAGCTGCTATCAACCAACCATTGGGGATGGGATTGTTAAACTTTTGCTGGAAATCCGGTGGGAAAAAACAGCTGGTTACTTGGGGGTGCATCCCACTTAAGTGGTTTATAATCCATGTGTAACCCATATATAACCCATGTTCCATCCCATTTTTGTAAGTGGGGATATTCCATGAATCTAACTGTGTTTCTTTTCACCCATTTACTAAGTGGGGCCCGCACATCCAAGTATACAGCAACTAGGGGATGTTTCCGGGTCAGAAGTGGATGTATACCAAACTGAATTCCAGTCAAAAACAACTTACTTAAGTGACATGTACTGCAGTTCCAGTTAAAGTGGGTATATAACCGTACTAGAGGTTATAGTTGTAGTTATAGGTGAATATACTAGAGGTTATAGTTCCACTTAACTAAGAAGATATATACTGGTTGGTGGTTTTAACCATCTTGAAAAATATGAGTTCGTCAATGGGAAGGATGACATCCCATATAGTATGGAAAATAAAATTCATGTTCCAAACCACCAACCAGTATGTATATATATATAATTATATAACCATACTATAAGCATACTTCTAAAGGTTACCACACAAAACCTGGCCTTCGTCACCTCCACCAAATCCTGGCGGAGAATTTTTGTTCAGCGCTGGACGCAAAGCGCCGCGTCATGGTAAACTATGGAACATTTATATTAAGTTAAATGTGATATTTATAGTAGAATAACATTAAGATAGTGATATCTACCTTTAGTGATAGTGATATTTTTACCCAATGTGAACATTTACCCTCTGGTCATTTAAGAGTTTGCGAACTGGAAAATGGCCCATTTATAGATGATGTACCTATTAAAATTGATATTTTCCATGGCTATGTTAAATAATCAAAGGGTATAGAAATTAATGGGATATTAATAACGGGCAAAGCAATAGGGAATATATTATATATATAAGTAATTTATAGAATTTCATGGAACAATTCATAGCGAATATTAATGGGATATTAATAATGGGAAACTCATGATTAATAATGTAATATATATATATATATAATGGGAACTATATAACTATGGAACTTTGGGAACATTAACGGGATATGAATAATGCGTAAATATTCATATTACATACCCATACACCCATTGAATATTAATAATGGGAAAAATTGGGATGTAGCCTCTGGTAAACTACCAGTTTCCGGAAAAACATCATGAAATGAATAGCTAAATCAACTATTTCTATGGCCATGGCATGGCTTCAATAGCTATGGCTATGTTACGAGCTAAATCACTGGAAAAAAACAACGTTTCCTTGTAAAACCTGGTAAAAATCCAAATGTTGAAGAATCCGAGCCATGTTTTTCCATGGCCAACCTATAAACCTACCTTTTTTCCATGGTTTTTCCCCGAAAAACTCCCGCCTTGATGGCCGCAGCCAGGGCTCCGCGGCAATAGACACGGCCGGAGCCCTGCCGAACATAAAGAATGGGATAATCACTGTTAATATATAAGGCGAACATAATGATAATAAGATATGGTTAATCATATAATGTTTTAATGTTATTATAAGATATGTGGTTCATCATGTTCGCCGATCCCATGAAAATAATGTGAATTATCATCATTGGCCCACGGCGTTAATATATGATTAATGACAAAATGGGATATATAAGACATGGGATAATCATTGGTTAACCATATAATATATTTTATTGTTGTCCCATTATGGGAGAATCATTGTTAATCTGGTTATAAGATGTAATTTATGATAGATAGATATTGAAAATGTCCTATGTCATGGGTGTCCAACTTTTCATAACACTCAAAAAAATGGTTCAATTCAATGGTGCTTTATTAATTGAATTTCACCAATCAAAATACCCTCTGGTAAACTAACGTAACTATGGACAATCACCATTTTTAATGGGAAAACTCACTATTTCTATGGCCATGTTCAATAGCTATTTTGGCATAACCAGAAGGTAGTGATTTAGTGGGATTTATCCATGAAACAAATGTTGTTTAATGGGATTTAAGCAAGAAGAATACGGGATGCCCCCGCTGGTTCGTGTCTTAGGTCCAGAGGCAGCGAAGATCCATCCTTCTGAACGGTGAACTGTGCGAAAAATCACCATGTTCAATATTTTCCCATGTTGATGCTAACATCATCATCACCATCATCAACATCATCATCATCATCATCTAAAATCGATCCCTACTTTCCATTTGTTTTCCATATGTTCAGGGGCCCAAGCAGCTAGATTACCTAGCTAGTTGGTGGTTTCAACCCCTCTGAAAAATATGAAAGTCAGTTGGGATTATTATTCCCAACACATGGAAAGTCATAAAAATCATGTTCCGAACCACCAACCAGCTAGTTTCCTTTCATCCAATCTCTGTTTGATCCTGTCCCACCTTCTCGTACTTGGCTCCCACGATGACAACACCATCTTCAGGACCTGTGATTTCTTTGGGGATGGTTCATGAAAGCTTGCGCATGGTTCTATGGTGATTTACATGCTGAAACCCACATTCAAATAGCACATTTAAAAAAAAAAAGAACCAAGCCATCTGATGTCAGAAACAAAGTCCACTTACAAGCTTCAAGAGTATGCTTCACATGAATCCATATTTTTTCAAATATCGAAGTTTCCCTTCCCAAAAAACATCCAAAACCCCCAAGAAACCCTCCAACTCCGGCGCTGCGCTACGCCGCTACGCTAGGCCCGCTAGGCTCCCGAGCCCAACGAAATGGCAAAGATCCCAGCAGCCCAGGGAAACCACCTGGACGCTTAGCGCTTGGCCGTTTCAAATGGCTGGGATCAATACATCTTACAGTAATTCATCATGGGATTATCATGGGGATATGATTGGGATGATATAGAGCCAATCCGAATTACCAGATATATATATATACATAAACCATTATACCGGATTATCCAGCATTAGCAATTCTAATTATGGAGTAATATATTAGTAATATCCATATTATGATGGATTATTACTCCATAATTATGATGGATTACCATCTGGTTATTTAACAGTTCGCCATGGAAAATCACAATTTTTAATAGGCCAATCATAATGGTTAATAGTGGTTAATAATGGTTAATTACTGGTTTATCCAATATGTATTGGATTACACAATTTTATCCAATAATAATTTGTTAATAATGGTTAAATCCATAGTGATTATCCATATATCCATATATAAATGTGGATTAATATTACATAATCACTATTAATAATGCATCCATATTAATCCATAGTGATTATTAATCCATATCAAATTAATAATATGTTTAAATATCCAATAATAACGAGTAATTATGATGGATTACACAATTTTATCTGGTTGGTGGTTGAGCCACCCCTCTAAAAAATAGGAAAGTCGGTTGGGATGGTGACATTCCCGACCAGATGGAAAAATAAAATTCATGTCCCAAACCACCAACCAGTAATAAATCCATATTAATCCATAGTGACTAGTATTAATCCATATTAAAATATGTTTTAATATCCAATAATAATGATTAATATGATTAATGATTATCAAACAATATCAATATAATTCAATGATTTAATGATATAATCTAATTATAACATCATATTAAATATTATTTATAACATAATATAATGATCAAGTCTAGATTGGAATCATCAATACATGTTAGTATTCAACCTGGAGGATCTAGAATTCATCAAAGTCTCTCTGGGAAAGCCCAACCCATCCGCTCGAGGCTGCTGATATAATCTAGAATATGGGAAATCAAAAAAACATCAACAAAATGGGTTGAATACATTCTATATTTTATTTATGGGTTGAATATGTATATTCAACAAAATGGGTTGGTATCATCGAACAATTCTTCATTCTACCTACTTCAGGATGAATATGGGTCGTTCATCAACAAATGAGGGCATTTCATGAAGGGTATGAGTATGGCCAACATATTACTCTCTATAAATAGCTATGAGTCAAGTCAGTTGCTATTTAGGTTTGCTTTGCAACAGTTCTATAAGTTATATATATATATCATTATATATCCAATTAGAAAAAAGAACTGGAAGTGACTATCCACTTATAACAATGTTTTACAAGTATGTACGGATAATATTCACTCATGTAACACATGTATATATATATACTGTATATAATTTAATAATTATCCACTTATGTATCATTAACAGGTTATTTACCCCAAAATATGGGATGGCAACTGGCCGTTTGATCCGGCGGCAAGCGGGTGGTTCCACATCGAACTGTTGGTTTACTTTAGGGTATTTCAACAAGTTATAGAAGCCATATCAAATTATTATATATACACTATATATATATATATAGTGTATATATCATGCATATTTATCTATCTATCTATCTATCTATCTACCTATCTATCTATCTATCTATCTATCTATCTATCTATCGATCTATCCATCTATCTATCTATCTATCTATCTATATATATATATATCCAAACTTGTCTCGGTATTACTATTGGATATACAGATTAATAACCCAAATTGCACCCCCAAGTACTAGCCAATCCCTGGGCCTGGGATTCTTTAAAGGAAAACGAGGCGTTTGTTGTTCAGTTGCAAATTGGCATCATCTCCCAAAATGTACATGCCAAGCCCAAGATGGATAAGTTGGAAGCCTGGAAATCACAATGTAAACATCATCTAGAACACCCTAAAACAAATACCTACCCTCTGGTAAACGTTTACATAACTACGTATGGAAAATCACAATTTTTAATGGGAAAACTCACTATAAATGGCCATTTTCAATAGCTATTTTGACATAATCAGAGGGTATCATTTTGGGTGTTTCGGAAAATAGGGGTACCTCCCGAATCGTCCAAAATGATTCTAAAACCCATTAGTTTTGCCTCCCCCAATTTGAGAAATACCCATTTGATCATTTGTAGGTTTCCGAAAATGGAGAGGGGTACCCCTAAGTCATCCTTTTAAATCAGTTTAATAAGATTTTCCAAAACATCCATTTTATCTGGGAAAATTATAACATTTCACTAACCATTTGGGGATAATTTCCCTTATTAACCATATTCCAGGGTTCGGGAGAACAGGGAGGTCGTTATAATTTACCCAGATTGTTGGTTATCCCTATCCCATTATTATCCCATTACTATTCAATCACTATTGTTATCCTATAAAGAATGGGATAAACCATCCATCTTATTTAAAATATCCTAAATGATGGAAACCATTGGCTTAAATTGGATATAACAGTATCCTCTTATTTAAAATACCCTATGGGATAATGGGATAAGAACATTGGATTTTCCAAAATATCCATTTTATGGAAACCCCAGCCATTGGCGCCCCCGCGTGGGCCGCAGGTGCCATGGGCTGCAGAGGCCCTCCCTGACGTGAGTCAGTTTGAGAAGATGGAGATGTGAAGCAACAAAGATATGGAAACATCTGCTACACAAAGTTGTCCTACGGGAATCTTCACCGTTTTTTTTGGAGATCTAAGTCAATTTCTAGAACTTCAGCAGCACTGTACAACATTCCCTGATTATGTCTTGAAGTACTGTAGATGTAGTGTACCCTCTGGTAACCTACATAACTATGGAAAATCACCATGCTATTAATGGGTAAATCCACTATTTCTATGGCCATTTTCAATAGCTATTTTGACATAACCAGAGGGTAGTACAGTCATATCCTAAATGTTGGTTGGAAACATCAGGGTGCCAGAGAGGTGCCCCAATAGGGAAACCATACCATCGAGGCATTCATGTCCTCTGTGAAAATCCTTGGCCAATGGTTGGCAACATGATGCTTGAATTATGGCAAATATTACGGCTTGAAATACATTGTGGCAAAATTATCTGGTTGGTGGTTTCAATCCCTCTGAAAAATATGAAAGTCATTTGGAAGTATTATTCCCAATATATATATATATAATATATATATATATGGAAAAATAAAATGCATGTTCCAAACCACCAACCAGTTATGGTCATGGTTGAATCAAGTTGAAAGCCACTATTGACAATTGGCGATTCGTCGAGGCTTCACACCTGGGCACACAGCCTAGGCATCTCTTGGCAAACCTTGGCAGATCAAAAAAATGCGTGAGATTTGCGCCGTTGCATGGCCTGTTTGAGATAGGTACCTCCAGCATACATGGGGATGGTACTTGGATGATCTTGGATACTACCCACAAAAGACAAGGAAAGACGTATTTCTGATATTGATGTAAAACTGTAAAACATTCCCCAGAGCACAATCAAGAATCGACGAATCGACCCATGTCTGGAAGCTATCCAACCCATGAAGCCAGCCAGTCTGTGACGCGGTGGCTTCTCTTCGCCCCATTTGCATGGGAAGCCACCAGCCAAAAAAGGGCTACATCGTATAGCCAACAGAAGTCAGGCTTGTAGAACACAAAAAAATGGTCGCAACAAATGCAGGTTTACACTCCAAAAAACGATGTTCGAACACAGTATATCCTACATCGCTAAATAGTTACACTCTTGTCTGAAGCCTACACCAGTGGGGATCTCTCAGTGCCCAACCAGAGTTTGTCCAGAAAATGGGATGTACCGAAGTTTCTGACATTATAAAAAAGGTAGACTTGGGCAAGAAAATCAGTAAACGTGTACCTAAGTTTACTAGAAAATCATGATGTTCCAAAACAACTTAGACTCATGATGTTCTATATACAGTAAACCACTAGACTTTGGCTTGTATTTTTCCAGTTTTTTTTCCGAGAAGCCACTGGGTCTCAGATTTTTTTTCTGTAGTCCACACTGGATCTGGGACGGGATCTGGGCATCCGACCATCTTCGATCAAGCGCCTAGCTTTGGGGCAAGCTGGGCAAGATCTGATGATCTGAATTCTGTAGAAACACAAAATCATCTCAAAAACCACCAGCAAAGAATCCAAGTTGAATCCAAGTGAAAAACCCCAAACATCCCCAAACTCACCGGAGGTTCATATCTTCCTCCTGGTCAGCGAAGCTTTAGCTCAGATTTCCCCGGTTCTATGGATCCAGATTTAAGGGGTAAGTCCGACAGCCAGCTTACCATCCAGTCTTGCGGCGAAGATGTTGGAAGACATGTTTTTCTCTAAAATGGATGATGTTTTTTGGGTCTATGTATGTCTATGTTCATTCGAGGATGGTAAAAAATCCCTCATGAATCCCGTGTTGTTTTTCCTGGTTGTACCACCCATTTAGAGCGCCATCGTCCCCACATCATAGGCGCCTGAGATTTCAATCTGTCGTTACTCAACATCTTCAGTCATGTGGGCCACAAGTCCAATACGAAACCATCCCCGGATAGAGGTTTATTATTGGATTATACATGATTATACTATATATCAGCATATATTAGCTTTATTTGGGTTTGTCCGAAAATAGATAATCCCCCAAATCCATTGGTAAATCCTCATGATCTCTTTTAACTGGCCATTTTTGGTCAGATACATGGAGACCTCATTTCCAAACACGCATGCTGAAAAGGCATGGTGGTAAGCTTTGGAGATGTTTGGAGGTTTCCGAAGTCATGGGATGTCATGGGGGTACCCCTAAATCCTCCATATTTTACATTGGGATTTTCCATGAAATAACCCATCCGGCTGGATAATATCTGGCGGTGGGTGCCTTGATGTTTCTGGCGGCTTGCATCGCCTGTGAGACGGTCCATGGATCGGAATGTGGTTAGTGTTTGATAAAGTTCACGGAAAACTCATGGAATGTTAAAGAAGTGAATTAGTGAATGAATATCCATGCTATGTTCCCATTTCCAAGTGAATTAATGGGTTAATAGTTAATAGTGGGTTAATCATGGGAATATCATGGGAATATTCGTGGAGAACCCAGTTATAAAGTGGGATGATCCTCCCCATAGGTACAACTTGGTGATGGTTGAAACAGGGAGACCACTTGAGGCAGTTATTGATATCATGGGGATATGATTGGGACGATATAGAGCCAATCCGAATTACCAGAGATATTTTTCAACCATTGGAAAATCACCATGCTATTAATTGGTATACGGTAGACCATCTATAAATGAACAATTTTCCATGGCTATGTTAAATAACCAGAGGGTAAACCAATCACAACAATGAGGTGATATTGACTGGACATTCAGAGGGACCAACGCCTTATGGCATTGATGTCCATTGCATGGCACTGGAAAATCCACCATGTCTAGTTGATTTTCCCATAAAAACACCAGTTCGGGGATTTTCCAACCACCTTTGATTTCCGGAGGGTATGTGAAGTGACTTCCAGGTGTTGCTCACGACATGCTCTTTGCCCAAAATTTAAGATCGAAAGTAAGGTGCGCATGCCGGTGGTTGAGAAAATCCCCTGTATCCAGCAGGTTTCTCGTGAATAATCATTGCAATTTAAGCTCAATGTACGCTAAGTTTACCCTCTCAACGTGGCTAGCTGGGAAATCCGTTGAAATCCCTTATCAAATGGAGAGATGTCCATGGAATTTTAGGATTCCATCAAGATTTTTCCATTTCGAAATGGCGGTGTAACGGTCGTTTTTTTCCAGCGATGCTGCTGCCACCTGCTGCTCCGCTGGGAAGCCCGTCTTCGGCAGCTGCGGTAAACTCGGCAGGGAGAAAGGGATGAAGTGATCCACCAACAAAAAAGGATCATGGTCATTTGGATGTTTCCTGACATGGGGGTACCCCCAAATCATCCATATTTTAGATTGGGATTTTCCAGTATCAGCATTGGGGTACCCCCATTTCAAGAAGACCCCAAAGGTATTTACATGTATCTACCATTTATGTTTGGCCCATTTGAGGGTCCTGAAATGTCCATTGAAAGGATAGTGAACCCCATAAGTATTGTAAAACACAGTGCATGAACCATAGTAAACTCATGTAAACTGTCTTATACTTTACTGACCTGATGACCCCCAAACTGTCTTATGAACTTATGAACCATTGAGCGAGAGCGTCTGAGCGAAGGGTTCTTCTAATAGTGGGGGTCCGCTATACATTTTCAAATTTTCTCATCTTCGCATCTTCACGTCTACACATGCCATCTTCACATATTCACATCTTCACATTTTCACATCTTCACATCTTCACATCTTCACATATCATCTTCGCATATCTTCGCCTCTTCACATCTTCTGATCTTCACATCTACACATATCATCTTCACATATTCACATCTTATCCTCACATATCATCTTCGCATCTTCACATCTACACATACCATCTTCACGTCTTCACATCTTCACATCTTCACATCTTACCCTCACGTCTTCACATCTTCTCTCTCTCTCTCTCTCCCTCTTTTTCTTTTCTCTCTTGAGGCCGCGGGCGGTGCTGACGAGGCGCCACGAAATGGCTACCCTTTCGCACGAAATGATGGTCGATCGTCAAAAACTGAAGTAACATTGCGATTTTGGGGGTTCCAGCGTTTGTGTGTAAGAGGGTTGTGTGTAAATGCGTTTGTGTGTGTAACAATGTGTCTGTGTGTGTGTGTGCGTGTAAGAGCGGCTGTGCATAAACGCATGTGCGTGTAAACGCGTTTGAACGCGTTTGTGTGTGGAAGTGTTCCAGTCTGCTGCAAAAACAGCATGGCAAAGACTTCAATCGATTGTTTCGCAGCTTCTTTTTTTTTCAAATGAAAAGTGGTACTTTCCCACATTTAGCCGAAGCACCCAGAACGAGTTTCAAGGTCAAGTGAGGTTTCAAAATAGTTGCCTGCGGTCAAGTTGTTATGTGAAACCAAACATTTGAGTTTTCATGTTTGCGGCAAAGGCTTCTCCATCGATTTCCATTGCTTCACTTCATTTCGTAGCTTCACTTTGGTTTCAAAGGAAAGCCTTAGTTTCCCGCATTTAGCTTCGTCCATGTCGCAAGTGTAACAACCTATCTCAACTTTGTGGATGAAGTTGCTGCAGCAAACGTTGTCATCATCCAACTGAGAAATTGCACCTTTGTAAACATGAAATTCGGCTTGACAGACATTCAAACACAGGCAGTTGTTCCTGCGGCATTTCCTAGATAATGTCATGCATGGCACCAGATTGCTTTGCAGCTGCCGTGAGATTGCAATATAATTGGTTTCGAATGATGTCAGTTGATTTGGAAGATGCAATGTCGGTACCCATCCGTGAAAGCGTCTGTGTGTAAAAGCGTCTGTGTGCAAAAGCTTCTGTGCGTAAAAGCTTCTGTGTGTAAAGCATCTGTGTGTAAAAGCTTCTGTGTATGAGCGTCTGTGTGTGAAACGTCTACTAATGCTTGTGTGTAAAAGCCTCTGTGTGTAAAAGTGCCTGTGTGTAAAGGCGTCTGTGTGTAAAGGGTTCTATGTGTAAAGGGTTCTGTGTGTAAAGGGTTCTGTGTGTAAAAGCTTCTGCGTGTAAAAGCTTCTCCGCACTGCCGTATCTTCCTGTGTCTTCTCAATGCTTCTTCCTGGGTCTTCTTCGTTTCATCTTCCTTTTCTTCCTCCTTCAATTTCTTCTTCCTTTCTTCAATGTCTGCACCATTGTCTTCATGTTTTAATATCATCGTATATTTCTATATTCATGTTTTATCATCGCATATTTCTATATTTATGTTTCATGCTATAAGATCTTCATACTTACACCTCTCACTCTGCTTCTCTACACTCTCGGGCCATCCGTCATCTAGTAAGTAGTGTCATAGGTATGGGGTTCCATTTCAATACTGAGCAATGTAAAAATTCTATTGGTCATTGGGTTTCACGGTCAATGGATTACAGTAAGATAAGACACAATATGGAAAAAGGGTAGTACAATCCCTGATCATGTATCAATGAGACATGCTATAAAATATGGTTGGAAAACCATCTTTTAACTAGCCAATCAGGATTTTTGAAAGTGATCCTGGGGGAAATTGATGCTCCTTCATGAATTAACTAGTGCTCAGAACTCCAAGGTTTTGCATGGGGGGTCAAGCAGGGGTACCTGGCGCCGCTTCGCGCCGCCAGGTGGGCTCTTACTTGAAATCCACCCGAGAAACATCCACTTTTTGGGACTCGATCGCCTGGTAATCTGGAAAAAGGTACCATCATTGAAGATACCCTCCGGTGTCATCAAACGTGGCTGGGAAATCCCTCAAACATTTTTGGTGATCAATACGATTGACTGATACGCATATGGATGTAATCAGTTTAAAACCCTGCATGGAATAAGGAATCAAATGGTGAACTCCAAAAAAATATGATGGTCCCATTGAAACTATGACGAACCTTCAATATCAACAAACAATATGTATCTTTCAGGGCCATTGCAAATATCTCTCTAAGACTCTATACTCTCATCTCTCTCCACTGTGTATGCGTGTATATATATATATATATGGGTATATATGCATATATATATATATACATGGGTGTATATATATATATATATATGGGTGTATATATATATATATGGGTATACTCCATTCAAGAGTTCATTACAGTGCTTTAGAACGATGAGGCTTTAGGAATACACAAGAGTTCTTTGCAGTGTTTTATAGAGGTGCACGTTTCATAGAAGTATGGACGTTTCGTAGGAGTATTCCACGTTTCATAGGAGTTTCGCATGTTTCACAAGCCACCTAATAACGTTCTTGTTCAACTGCGTCCCAACTTGGAACTCTTAAACCACAAGACAAGACGAACTCTTAAACGAAGTATACCGATCGATGTGTATATATATAGAGATATATAGATACGTGTGTATGTTACATATGTTTCAGCAATGCTCACCTAATATTCACCAGTAGATGCTGAAACCGGCCGCCGCACCCTAAACCCAGGTTCCCAGGCTCCCATTTTGAAGCTTCCCCGCTGCTACTGACCTCCAGGCGTGCGTTTCTGGGTTGTGTTCTTTTTTAAAGAAAAGGAATGTTATTAAACATACTAAACATACATTATATATGATATGTGATATATCAATGTAATATGATATATGATATAAAATATATTAGGTTTCTTTGATATATGATACTTACCTAAATGGTCAATGTACTATACCAAAGATATGTTTACACAATATATAAGTCATGACTAATGGCTCATGTTACTTACCAACGGTTTTGTCTAGGTTTTAAGAGGATGCATATACCCGACAAGAAATGATGTCACAAGAAATGATGTGTGACGTATAAATTAGTACATCATGCATTTCCCTAGCATTGGTGGCTAGTCAGACTACAGCAATCTGCGACCAGCCCAAGTTTTACTAGGATTGAATCTACAACCATAGTGTAAGAAGCAAACATGTGGATTTAAGCAAAACTGGGGAACTTCAGCACCATGGGGGGAATTCGTCAAAAAAGTATACGATGTCATCCCAATTTCCTGGTGAAATATCCTCATCGTTGATCCATGTTTTTCGCATCATCCCAAGTTCCTATCACCAACAATAGCCATTGATTTATTTACAAATATTAACCAGTTTATAAATGGCTATTAATGGCTAGTAATGGTTATTAATGGTCATTAATGCTTATTTATGGTTGTTATTTATGGTTATCATCTATTTCTTGGTGAAATTCCCCCAGAAAGACCCCATTGACCCAGGCTCCCCCGGGCGCTCCGGACGCAGTCCCCCACCGCGAAGATGTTTCCTCCGCCCCAGCGTTCGCCGGTCTTGGTGACCACCTACCGGGCTACGGCTAGGGCCTGGTAACCATGTATATAGTTTAACCATTAATGATAGTATATATACCATGTATAGGGTTCAACTATGGTTGATATAGTTGGTATAGAAATAGTTGGTATATAAATAGTATAGTTGATATATGATTGATATATAAATCTATATATAGTAGCTGTAGTTGATATACGATGCAATACTTATTATTGACTGGTTGGTGGTTGAGCACCCCTCTGAAAAATATGCTCGTCAGTTGGGATTATTATCCCCAATGTATGGAAAAATAACAGCCATGTTCCAAACCACCAACCAGAATACTTATTATTAAGCATTAATAACCATTAAGAAGCACTATTCATTCATATTGTACCATTGGATGAATCCCACATGTGTATATGTATATGTATATATAATTATATATACATATACTTGGTGGTTCATCCCACGACTCCTAAGTAGGTTAGTTCACCCTATAAGTGGATGAACCCTAGTTACCCCACTTATAACTACGGATACCAGTAGTACCGCACAAGGCGGTGGCGGAAGTTTCAGAATAGGAAACCTATAGGAGACGTTGGTTGTTGTGAATCACGGATGGCAGAGCGAATCCACTGATTGACCGAAAGGTGGTTGGAGTTGTGTTTGCTGGAATGGTTGCAATGGTTGCAGTGGTCACCTCACCCACAACTGCTGGATGTAGTGTGTTGTACTGCAACTGTAGTTGTAGTTGTAGTGTAGTGGAGTTGTAGTTGTGGTGTAATGTAATTAGTGTAGTGTAGTTGCAGTCATATAGTTGTAGCTGTGATTTGTATTTTGTAGTTGTAGTTGTAGTGTTGTAGTTGTAGTTGTTGTGTAATGTTGTAAAGTTGTTGTAGCTTGTTGTGAGTTGTAGTTGTAGTTGTGTAGTGTAGTGTAGTTGTTGTGTTGTAGTGTAGTAGGTTGTAGGTAGTGTGTGGTTGTGTTTGTTGTGTGTGAGTTGTGCTGGGAGGTGGGGGGGTGCTGTTGTTGTGTTTTGTAGTTGTTGTTGTAGCTGTAGTGTTGTTTGTAGTTGTAGGGGTAGTTGTAGTTTTTGTGTAGTGTGTAGTGGGTGTTGTGTAGTATAGTGATAGTTGTAGTAGTAGTTGTTGTTGTTGTTGTTGCTGTTGCTGTTGCTGTTGTCGTCGAAGTTAGGGTAGTTAAGTTAGTGAAGTTAGTTAAGTTAGTCAAGTTAGTTAAGTTAATCAGTGTCTACTTTTTCGACATCTTCACGTCAAAAAGGCTCAAAACCCTCAGTTTTTTACACTTTTGACTTCGAAATGTGCTTCGCGCCACAACGGCGTGCACTTTTTCGACACTTTTTCGACATCTGAACCTCCAAAAGTGGTCCGAGACCGTCAGTTTTTAACACTTTTGACTTGGAAATGTGCTTCGCGCCACAACGGCGTGCACTTTTTCGACATCGCAACTTCCAAAAGTGGTCCGAACCAGGGTGTTTTGTACATTTTGACTTGGAAATGTGCTTCGCGCCACAACGGCGTGCACTTTTTCGACATCACAACTTCCAAAGTGGTCCGAGAATGGTGTGTTTTGTACATTTTGACTTGGAAATGTGCTTCGCGCCACAACGGCGTGCACTTTTTGACATCTCAACTTCCAAAAGTGCTCCGACCATGGTGTGTTTTGTACATTTTGACTTGGAAATGTGCTTCGCGCCACAACGGCGTGCAATTTTTCATCTCTCGTCTGGCCAGCTGGCTCCGCACCCGCCGCTTTAGCGAGCCTACTTTTCGACCCTCCGGAGCCACAAATCATTGGAAAAACACAGTGTTTCGCGACTTTCCTACCTTTTCGCGCATCTGCATCTTCTTCTCTACTCTTTCTCTTCTGATCTTCTCTCTTCTAATCTTCCTCTTCTCTCTGCCTCTGCCCTGCTCTGCTTTTCATCTGTCCATATTGTCGGAAGTTTGACTTCTAAACTTCCTTCGATAACTTACTCACAAAGTGGGAGAAGCCACCAAGTACCCTCTGGTGATTTAACAGCTATGGAAGCCATGGCCCATTTGTAGATGATAGAAATCATGATTTACCAATTAAACATAGTGATGTTCCATAGCTATGTAATGTTATCCGAATATCCATGCAAGTGGAATTAATACTTACATATGGCAGTGTGTCAAAACCTTGTACCCCTGGTGAACATCAAAATAGCTGGTAAATGGATGTTCATCCCATTAAAAATGGTATTAATAGGTATTGATCCATACCCATATACTTACTACATGGGATCATCCATGGCATTTTTTTGTCGAAATGGTGAACTCATACTCGGTGGTTCACCTCAGTAAGTGGATTCGAAGCCCAGCCATGACTAGGGTAAGGATTATTGGTCCCGCGTCCGGCTATAGGATGCTATAGGTGGGGTTACTACTTAACTCACTTACTGACTGGGATGGTCTACCAAGTAGATAATAATGGTGGCTGTTGCTGAGATGGTGGAGTGTTTCATGTGACTGTGATAAACCCCAATAAACTTAGGCTTAATCTTCAGGATTTTCCCATTTGACGGGGATGATCATTGTTTCCACACCAAAGTACAAAGTTGCAATGTGGGATAATGTTGGGCTTTGTGGTTTTAACCATGTTGAAAAATATGAGTTCGTCAATGGGAAGGATGACATTCCATATATTATGGAAAATAAAAGCCATGTTCCAAACCACCAACCAGATCTTTGGCTGTGTAAATCCCCAAAATTTTCAGACCAACTCCATGGATTTTGCCGATTGGCGTGATACGTCAGAGATGCTACCATCCAGTTATAAGTTGGTTTATATTGGTTTATACTCTCCATTACCCTCTGGTAATGACTAACATAGCTATTGAACATAATTACATATAATTACGACATTTATAGGTGATTTACCTATTCAAAATGGTGATGATCTATGGCTGTGTTAGTTTACCAGAGGGTAAGTATGAATAATACCACCATAAATCGTAGTTTTTTCTCCCAGCTGTACCGGAAACACTGACAACATGGTCAAACTCAGCATGGCGGCACGGTGTAGCCAAATAATAATTGGAGTTATAAACTAACTTAGCTATCAGAAGTCAGCTATCAATCCCATGAAATCACCATTTTTGTTGGTTAAATGTGTTAAATCAGCTTTTCCCTATGGGCCACCACTGCAGCACCCTGCATCTGTTCTCCAAGGGGTCTGACATGTTGTCGAGTTCCAATAGCACCCACGATGGATCAGTGGATCACTCTCCCCAAAAACATCCAAAGCCTACAGGTCCTCTCAAAGAATATCATGGCCAATCTTGGCTACATTTATTTGTTTGATTTGTTTTTTGATTCTTGAGATGCTTAGGTTCACATATCCCCTATTTACAGCTAAAAAAACAACATACTCAAATGAGCTACCTCCAAAACTCGTTTGACCTATATTCCATTCCAATACATATCCCTTACATAGACCTTTCCGGTGGTAACCCAAATGTTTTTAACGGAAATCCAGTTGAAAAAACCCAGCCCGGTGATTCCCCACCTGTAGGAACTGGTTCACCAGAATCCATCCGCCACCTCCAGGCCTCAGGTTATGACTAACAGTTCGCCATGGAAAGATCCACCATTTTTAATGGGAAAACTCACAAAAAAAAATATATTTGTGCCATATTTTCCATGGCTATGTTAAATAACCAGAGGGTATATACTATAAACCATGGCACTATGAAACTATTTATGCTAGCGGGTGGAGAACCGCGCGTGTAGTCGTGCCACTTTTTGAAAATGGGGTTTGGGTGGGGTGGCGTGGGGCAATAACGTTCATGTTGCTTGCAATCTCAAGTGATGCTACGCTAGGGCTACGTGATGGCTTGTGGTTTGGGTGGGGGGTTGGGGCTACGTCATGGTTTGGGGTTTGGGTGGGGTGGGGTGGGGCTAACGCATCTCAAGTGAGCTGGCTAGGGCTACGGGTTTGGGTGGGGTGGGGTGGGCCAGTAACGTTCATGTTACTTGCAATCTCAAGTGATGCTACGCTAGGGCTACGTCATGGCTTGGGGTTTGGGTGTGGGGTGGGGTGGGGCAATAACGTTGATATTACTAGCAATCTCAAGTGATGCTACGCTAGGGCTACGTGATGGCTTGGGGTTTGGGTGGGGTGGGGTGGGGCAATAACGTTCATGTTACTTGCAATCTCAAGTGATGCTACGCTAGGGCTACGTCATGGCTTGGGGTTTGGGTGTGGGGTGGGGTGGGGCAATAACGTTGATGTTACTTGCAATCTCAAGTCAATGGTTAAGCAAACGCTTGGCAGACTGAAGCAGCTTATGCAGAAGTGAAAAACGACCATCGTTTCAAAGCCACAAAACCCTGTAAATACCATGAAATCACTTCAACATTACTCGATTTCCCAGACCCTTCTTTTTCCAAAATGTACTCAACCGTTAGCGCGGTTTCCCACCCGCCGGGCTACTGATGTATGCCATTATATAGGGATTTTAGGGATTTATATATATATATATATGTATCTGTACATATTGATTTATTTCATTATTCCATTATGTTTGGATTCCCATATATTATATATACCATTGATATACCCATTATGTTTGGATTCTCCCATGACATCGGATGGGTGACTATAAACGCATATAACCATGGCACATACGAAGAATGATGAAGGATGATTTGTTCGCTGACCCCAAACCCTGTAAATCCCTGTAACCTGTCGAATATTGATGAAGCGGAGTTAGGCGAAAACACATGTCATATTACTGTAATATGGTATAAGTATGTATAAGTATAGGATAGTATAAGTATCATGTGGCTGGTTGGGAAGTCCGAAAAATTCCTTTGGCTCCATCTGGCTCCGCACCGGTGAGGTCCCAGGCCCTCGTTGACTTTGGGCAGCCTCATCCACAAAGTAGTTGGAATGTTTAGCCTGGGAAGCGTAGGATGTTTTCATCAACATTTGGTGACAATTTGAGAAGGGATTCTGCCAGAAGTCCTGAGAGGTTTTCTGCAAAAATCATGATTTGACCAATGATCGTGGCAGTGTATAGCCAGTAGTAATAGCATAGTGATGGGGATAATTAGGCGAATAAATTGGTTAATTCTATGGTGGATTATGGTGGTATTTCATGAGGAAATATAACCAACTTAACGATGTGGTATTGTCTGGAAATGGGGGAATTTGCCCGGTTGAGAAGGACCAAACAATGAGCACTATCGTTTGAGCTAAGAAATCCGTTCATCTTCATAAATGGAGTTTTCTCTATTTGGAGTTTTGGTTGGAGTTTTCTGAGGTGTCTACTAAATTCCTACGTCTTGGTTTTCTTCTCCGATTTGTGCCATTCATCCTACAGATCGATTGGAGTTGTTGGTTACAAATAAAGAGTCATCCCATTATTTGGTGGTTGCTTAATGAGGTATCCGGTCAATTATGCACTATCATAATCCGCCAAAAAAAAAACTCTGTATCCCTATTTTAGGCAATCGATCTTGGATCTTGGGCCGTCTCTGCAGCTTCGCGTGCCGACTTTGAGCTCAGCCGTCTCGAAGCAATTTTGGGACCAACATGTCGGAGTGCCCAATATCGCCAAGCATCAGCAGCTCTCTTACCATGGCTGTGTGAGCTTTCTGGCCTCCTCCTTCGCGATATTTGCTTTTTGTTGCTGCCCAAGCCGTCGAGTGCATTTGCTGGCCCCAAAATTTCAAAATGGTCACTGCTGACGTTCTCCCTCGACAAAACTGCTAAAGAAGAGTCTTCCGAATGACCTGCGGGCTGGGGCTGAGGCTGGAAGGCGCAGGCTGAATGAAGATGGGTCAGGCGGCTAGCACCCTGTAGAGAAAATCCTCAGGCAGAAGTCCGCATAGGCTGACAGGGCTTGAAGATCTTGAAGAAGCCATTGTTCAATTGTGCTTGCAGCTGGGAGTCCAATGCCACTGCGGAATGTGTCCACGAGAGCTGGGAGTACCACTGGTTATCCTGACGGAAGTCTGCTGAGCATCTCCAAAGAAACAACAGCATTGTTTGTCATTGGTTTCACCACATACCACAGTTGTAAGACCCTCTGTAGGTTTGTCTGAAAGCCCCAAAATGCAGTATCATGTTCCCACTTAACATACATCGGAGGTCAATCCAGCATGTTCAGACACACCCCACCCTTTGTGGCCATGATTGAGCTACAGTCCACTGACATGGCACAACTGGTTACAGTGTGGAGTTGGGAAAACTGTTCCCCAATGGATATTGGTAGTTATGAATCACCATGATGTATCCCATTGTATCCGAATGAATATCTGACCAAATCCCAGCTTTACCCCTATCTTTGCTATCTTTGTTGGTGAAATCCCTCATTTACAAACCTCAATCATGTTTATTCCAGTTATACCCCCTAAAATATATCAAGTGTGTTATTTATCCCCTTATTTATCCCATTTCCCCACATGTCATATCCCCATAAAGTGGTTGGTTTCTATATATATATATATATCAATAACATAATGTTATCAATATGATCTGTTTGACGAGTGTGATATACAGCCATTGAATGGGACATATAATTAGATGGGACATATATATATATGTATAACTATATGGTATACATCCTATTTTCACATTTATAGTATCACCATACTTACTGTTAATATCCCATAGATACTAGAGGTATACAATAATTAACACCTATGTTATCAGGCACTTGATACTATTAAATGGGATATATCAGGTCAAATTATATCAAAACATAATACTGTAATTCACTAACCTGAAATAATGCTATATTGGGATAGCTCCCGTTACTAATCATGATTCCAGTGAGGTCGCAGAGGCGTCGTTCCAATTTACCCAGATGATTATGTAAATGTTATCATCATGGATATACAATGGTCCATTGTCCATAGCCATGTGAAATAACCAGAGGGTAAATCACCAAATTTTATCAAATTTTCACAACCCCCATTCAAGTCCCATTAAATCACGATTTTCCCATCTTATATCCCCATTATCATCACCATTTTCCCATGGTCAAGTACCATTCGCTCTCGTCCAAGTCCCCCGACGCCAGAGAGCACGTAGGTCCTTTCAACGACACCGCCCGGTGGACGGCACGTCGAAGAATGGTTGGTGGTCCAAAGGACAAACTTTGGGAACAAGCAATCAGCAAAAGTCTGGGATTTTTCAGATTTCACCAAGCAAATGTCTGGGTTTCACCATTTTACAGAATTCTGTTCTTTCTTCGCTAAGTTGGTTGAACAAGTCCGACTGTTGGGTTCATATAAGATTTGTATGTATACTTGGGTTGATTGCTGTTCCTCTCACCATCTTTGGCAGTGAACATCGAAATTATGAAATCCCACGTGAAATCGCAGTATATTCCCGTTGGTACATAAAATCCTTGATCATTCGATTCCCATACCATCAGGTTCTCCATGTATAGACTGTATAGATTACTTTCCCATTGAAAGCTCTATAAAATCAGATGATTTTTAGGTGATATCACCATTGGATCCCAACAAATAACTTGAAATCGCATGAGATTCCCAGTAAATTATCCCACTATAACTTTCTATACTCCCTTCACCTATGAATGATAGTGATTGATATTGAAGATATACCCCTGTCCCATGTCATGATATTGATTATTTATCACCTAGACCTAGACTTTCATCGATCTTCCCATACATCAATGGCCATTTCAGGAACCTAAATTGGAGGTACCTACCATATATATAAGGCCTAAATTTCAGGCCTAAATTTCAGCGAATATTGCCTAGAAAATATGCCGTGAAAAATGGTACTGACGTACCTCCATTTTAGGATCCTGAAATTCCTATTGATTATTGAGTATTTACCATTAATAACCATAAAATTTACCATCAATCACCATGAATACCCAGTAAATCACCATTAAATCACCATTAATCACCATTAAATCATCATTAAATCACCATTAATCACCATTAATCACCAGTAAATCACCATTATTGAAGATGATTGAAGTATCGCCCACTACCACCTGATCGCCAAGACACCGATCTGCTCGCTCAGGCAAGCCGATCCGTTGCCAGAAGGCCTCACTGTTCTCGTCGTACCTTGGGGGTTGGCGAGGCTCGGTAGACATAAAATGACTATAGATTTAGTGGGGAAAGAGGGGAAAATCTATGAACATCTACTAGTTTCGGTGAAATAATGAGGATATAAAATGAATTACACTAATTTGACCATATTCAAATAATGACGATAATTTAGAATTGGTAGTCAATTACCAAAGGGATATCATGTTGCAATCATTGGGATAATTTGGGTCAATGTCCATCAATGATCATTCTCGTTGTCATGGGGTATAGTAGTTTAGATTCAGTCAAATAATGATGGGAATATAGTTTATGGTAACAAAAAGTTGACTCTTAGATTTTAACAATTCATAGATTGTTGACAATTTGGGATAATAATTAAGGTAATCAATCATGGGAATATAATGGGAGATAAAGCCATTATGTATCCCCATTATATATATATATATCCCATCAAAATTTTAGTCGGTTTAACCAGTAGTCATGGATAACAATGAGGATAACAATGGGGATAACAACAGAGAAATGTTTCGATTCGTGGAATATCACCATCACAAAATGGGATTTGACAGTAAATAATATTAAATAACGCCAGGATTTTTCCAATGATCACCAGGATATGGAGCCAGCATTAATGGGGTAGTAATTGGTTGATAATGGTTTATTGGTTGAGATGTAGCGGGAGCTATCTTCTGGGATAGATGGCCAACTTGATATGATCGCATTGGTACCTCAGTCGATGATCGGGCCCATGTGCCCATGTTTGTGATGCGAGAGGCGCGTACCAGAATCTATGGTACATCATGGTACATCCAACGGCTAAGCTATGATTATCCCACACATAAACCAACCAGTATAACCCCAGTACCAACCCAATCAACCTTCATTTATCACTTATATCATTTATATACCTATATTTCAAATATGTCATATCTTTGATGTTCGAAACCTCATAAAAATCAACATATGGGTACCCCAAACCATGGGTTTTTTTCCCATTCATAACAATCAATTTTGGATGAGTTTGGGGTACCCAAGGGTACCCCCAATTCAGGAAACCTCCATAGGTCAACCCCATCATCAACAAATGGAGGTTTCCTAAAATGGGGGGTACCCCCAATAGCTGGTTGGTTTATAATGGAAAAAACAATCTATAAATGGATGAGAACTGGGGGTACCCCTATTTTAGGAAACACCCAAATGAATAACTTGATGAAAATTCTGATAAATAGATAGAGATTCAAGATAAGATATCATCATACCTGTATCTTCACATATGTACCCATCATTGCCCCAAAATCCACCCGTCTTTGCACCGCTCGCTTCTCACCAGCCGCCCAGCCAAGCGCACTTCACATTGTACTGGGTCGAAATGCCATGGGATCGCATGTAGTCCTGCGCCAGCTGAAAAAGCAGGGGGGCAGGGTCGATGACTTCACAACGGTGCGAAAATTCTGTAATTCTGTGTGCTGTGAAAAAACCAGAATCATCCAGAATCTAAACTAAGAAGTGCTGGGGCCCTAGAAAGGTCTTACTAAAGTACTAAAGGTGATCAGCGTTTAGAATCTTGAGTTTGGATTCTCCAAACCAATCAATTCCGTTGAGAATCGGACACAACTACTACTCAGAAATTGTCTTTGTTATTTTTGTCCAAAAATGGCAAACGCGGCATACCCCAAAATCTACTGATGGATCTACTGATTGATCTACTGATTGATCATGATTTATCATGATTTATCACAATCATCGTCATCGTCATCGTCATCATCATCATCATCATCATGTTTCCATATGTCCTCCCTCAACATCTCCAGTTTCCTCTCCGAAACTCCCCTCAGCCCTTCAGCCCTTGCCTCGCAATAGGCTGCCGCATCCTCCGGCAGAGGCCCAAGGCAACGCCTCTGCAAAATCCACTCGTAAGTGGTTTGTCAAAGGGCTCAAAGTGGGATGATCCTCCACGATCCTCCACGTAGATAGCTTAGATAGCCAAAAATCCGGACTAAACTTCCAAAAATGGTGGATTTGGTGATTTGTGGTTGATTTATGTTCGCGAAGTTGGTTGATTGAGAACCCTCCAATACCTTGGGGTTATGGCAATTTATAACTGGCGGCTCCCACCTTGTCAAGTTGTTAGACATAGCCTCCACCCACTAACAAACAGACCTACTATACCGGTTAGGGATAATTCTGGTCACTGGCAACGTGGGTAAAGGCTATGTCCAGGTATACCCTCTGCCATTTCGACATGGGATTTTTTTCAGGTGCACGGTGGTGATGACCTACACCTACCGAGAAGGATCATGGGGATAGGGGTTGTGAAGCTCTACTGGCTGGAGTAGCGGCATGTTTTTGTTGCGCCCTTTGCGCAACAGATGTGCTCAACCCAATAAACCATAAACCATCCCCTTGGGGATGCTGGGCACACGAGAGTCATGGGATGATTTTTTGAATCCACCCATCCCATCCCCCATTTGTGGTTGGTCACTGGGACCGAACAGGATTGGCTCTACCACATTGTTATTCCAACATAGTTTATTCTTGTTTATTCCATATGCCATAACTAGAAAAACTGTATTACTATGTATATAACATTACATAACTCCACGATAACAAAGTGCTATCATTAGTGGTTTTGAAATGTCTTGAAACTCTATTCGTAGCTCCAACTGGCTGGCTCCCCATTGAAAATGGATAGCCAACCAGCTCCGTTCATCGCACACCGAGCCACGGCATGAAGTCGGCCAAGAAGACACGCAGGGAGGGGAAGAAGTAGTTCAACCTCGGCCCGAAACGTGGGGAGCTGAGCAGGGTTCAAGCCATCCTTCTATGAATGGTATAATCCTGGTTTTGAATGGTATATTCCTTCTATTAAATGGTGGGAATCCCATTCTAAACCAATTCTAAGCCCATTCCATTCAATCCTGGTTGGTTTAGAATGGGATTCCCCTTTCTTGGACTATGATAATCCCCAATACTTAATAGTTAATATCAATAGTTAATCCTTTTTCTAATATCCCTTATACTATGGAATCCGTTTATAGTTAATCTTAGTATAATCCCCCAACTAATCATCAACCAACAGGGGTGGATCGCAGCCACCAAGACCCCGGATTCACATCCCATGGCGAATCTGGGTTCCCCTGGAAGGCAGTACCCCACCCTAATGGGCAACCATCATGACAGGTTCTAACTAAGTACAAGATGGTGCCCTCTGTGACAGTTGGCTGAATCATACTAACTACAGATAGGTGTCTAACCATTAACCCAGCATTTATAAGTTTCAAAACCAACTTAGCTATCGTGCCCGCCTTGTACTCCAACAGAATGCTCGTAGATCCCAGAATTGCCCAGCAACTCTGAAGTTGCCGCAGTTGCCAATTTGTTTGCTGTTCGAAATCCAAATGTTGGTCAATCACGATCCCTCTTCATCTTGGCTTTCAATCATCTTGGATATCTTAGATCCCTATTGATTATAGTGTTTTTTCGTCAGTTCACCCTCCAGCAATCAAACGTGCCTGGGAAAATCCACGGCATCCCCCCGGGTTTCCCAACTCACAGGCCCATTGCACCGCCTGATATCCGGCACCAACCACCAACACACTTGCCTCGCGGCCGGCAAACTGGCGCACTGGCCGGGGCACCGGCCGGGGTATGATTCTGTATGATGTATAATTATGTATAATTGAGCAACTATATGTGATAACATGTGATAACATGTGATAACTATTGGGTTTCTATGTTTGTCTATTGCTTTGGTACCTGAAAAAATCATGGAAAAACGCCGATCCGCTGGTGAAGGGGAAAGATCGCCCTTCAAAGGATCCGTGGTGGGAAGTGGTGGGACGTTACCGAACGTCCCCACAGAGCATGGAGTCCCCAATCCGTGTTATCATCTGGTTATTTAACATAGCCATGGAAAATCCCCATGTTTAATAGGTAAACCATCTATAAATGGGCCATTTTCCATGGCTATGTTAAATAACCAGAGGGTATCATTTGCCAGAACCCTGCGAATAAAATTCAGGTTCGAACCTCCGGCTTCTGACCATTGTTCTGGCGTCCAATCTTCACAAAACAAGGTAATGGCTGTCAACTCGCGTGCATCGGATGTCACTTTCTGCGGGTCACAGGCTGCTACTGTGATGTCTTTGCTTCCTAGTTGATACATGCGTCCATAGAAGGACCTTTAGCTTATCATCAATGAATAAATGGGCTACCCTCCAGTAAACTAACATAGTAATAGGGATGGAATATATCCATTTTGAATAGGTAAATATCTAAAAACGGGCCATGTTCATCCATTTTCCATAGCTATGTTAGCTTCTCAGTGTACCCGGTGGGTTTCAGGTGAGATGAGGCCAGCCTGAAACCCACGACCCCGTGACCCGCGGGTAAACCCGCGCCTTTCGCAAATTGAGATCTGTCCTGGCCAGAAATTCTGCAAGGGGTGGGATCGGTCACCCATTGGCTTGTTCATGGTTATTACATGCTGGTTGGTGGTTTCAACCCCTCTGAAAAATATGAAAGTCAGTTGGGATTATTGTTCCCAATATATATGGAAAGTCATAAAATTCATGTTCCAAACCACCAACCAGCATGTTATAAAACTATTCTATCATTTTTTGCATAGATTGCCAGCTTGGTCGGTCAAATCTCCACTGGGTCTCCCCAGCAGCTGTTGATGCTCTCGTAGGATCGTGCGCCGGCGACTCTCCAGGAAGCGCTCGTCAAGCTCGCTCCTGGGGATTGGCCAACGGGGAAAATGCTGGGAAAACATGGGGAAAATATGGTTAAATAGAACTTCTGGTAACCATTAATAACCATTAATAATTCGTAATGGTTACTTGGTGGCTCATCCCCGTTACTAAGGGCTAACACATCACTTGCGCCTCCACTTTTACATCACTTGCACCTCCACATCACTTACGCCTCCGTGCATCACTTACGCCTCAAGAACTAATCACTTACGCCTCAAGAGCTAATCACCTGCGCCTCGCATGACGGTTAACCACTCACTTCCAACACCAAAAATCAACTCACTTCCAACACCGACTCACTCCCAACACCAAGACCTCACTCCCAACACCAAACATTGACTCACTTCCAGCACAAAAAGCACTTTTCGGCGTCGAGGGCGAGTCGGTTTCCCGTTTCCCCATTGGTACTGCGGCGTCACTTCTGGAACCCCCTCATAAACAAACATTACAGGGAAAATGATCAACACTGAGAAACCCCTCAAGGGGATTCAACCCCCCCCCCTTGCCTTCCACAATACCATCATCTAAAATCTACCTCTTTATTTCAACTTCCCCCCCTGCCTTCCACAATGCCATGATCTAAAAATCTACCTCTTTATTTAAACTTCCCCCCCCCGTGTTTTCCACAATGCCATGATCTAAAAATCTAACTCGTTATTTAAACTTCCCCCCCGTGTTTTCCACAATGCCATCATCTAAAATCTAACTCTTTATTCAAACTTCCCCCGCCTTGCCTTCCACAATGCCATCATCTAAAATCTAACTCTTTATTTTAACTTTCGCCCCCCCTTGCCTTCCACAATGCCATCATCTAAAATCTACCTCTTTATTTAAACTTCCCCCCCCTGCTTCCACAATGCCATGATCTAAAATCTGACTCTTTATTCAAACTTTCCCCCCTCTTGCCTTCCACAATGCCATCATCTAAAATCTAACTCTTTATTTAAACTTGTGGTTCGTTGTGATGTTCAAACGGATTGGCCGAAACACAATCATCACAGATTAAAGATCAATTAACTGCTCACCACGCGGCACAGCCCTACCGTGACCTACGCATTGCAACATAATACCTGCGATATATAACAGGGGGCACGCGGACACAACGCACGCATGGGGGAACGC